CTTTCATTTTATCACTTACTTCTTTGTACATTTTATCACTTGTACTTTGTACTGTACCAATGTCTTCATGTTCTATATTGCTTAGTATTTTGGAGGTGTGAAATTCTGGATAAATAGAGAACTTCACATGGACTTTGGTTTAGTAGGTTTGCTGAGACATAAGAGAGAAGAACCTACTCTTTGAATGCTTCATTTAAGAATATCATGCACTTCCATAATTGAGTTTGCCCTCTCAAGTCTCTCGTATTGATAGTCCTTCATAAAGCGAACTTGTTATGATTGAAACTAAATAGTTCACATAATATGCAGATATTAGCACTTACTCAGAATTATTAACTGCTCCTGTGAAGACTAAAATTATATACTCAGTAAATATGGAAACATTAAATTATAATACCTTTGTAACTAATATTTTCATTCAATGCCCTGTGTGAAATAATCATATGTAAAGTAAGTACAATTTATTTGCTTCCAGAGAAGGATTCTAAGGACCTTTTGAAGCCAGGAGTCCCATCTGCACTTCATAGATACGCAGTAATTTATTCCAGGGTTGTGTTCATGAAAATGAATGCAAATATCTTCTTCACTGTGCATTTTTAACCTTGAAACAAAAAGAAGTAAAACACTGGTTCATCATGAGCTGTAGGATTTGCTACTTTGAGCAATGTACATTCTGTCACATAATGAGATTGACTTTTAAATACTATAACACTTTGAAAAACAGAAATAAAGAGGAAAAGGTTGGACTTATGGAGCTGCTGCGGAACATGAGGGACTCCTGAAGGAATAAAGGAGAGTATAACTTGGCCCACCTTCCTTTCCAACCAGCTCGACTTCTGAGGCCAAGGCTAATTAGGATCAATGATATCAACTTGAGAACAGCCCAAAGTGCTCCAAATAAAACAAACAATAGTCAGAGAGAAGATTCCAAAGGGATAAATTCTGTGTTAGTCAGGGTGAAGTCCTCAAGATTCCAAATATTTGCCAGCCAGGGTGTTTGGCTTTGTTTTTGAAATCTGTGCTTTTCCCATCTGCCAGGACTCTCAATATTGCATCTTAGAACTGCAGGGGTTGAAAATTCATTTTAAATGAGCCTAATATGTAATGAAATAAAAATTATACCAAAACCCAAGAGTTATATATCAATTTGCCTTGAGTTAAGCTACTCAAGTAACTCAAAGCTGGTGTTAGTAGTTAAAAGAATAAGACGTGCCATAGGATGTTATAAACCCTGTGGTGATATGGGCAGTGTAACTCTATAACTTGCAAGATAAAGAAATAAAAGAAGAACTTACTCATTTTGCACAGCCGGTTTTATGGAGCCCCCAACCAATTCAATTACCTAGCCAGCATTAAAGGTCACAGGATATAAAGGTCTCAAATTCTGCAATAGGTTGTCTGAAATCCCACCTAGAGCATTTAGAAGGACAAAATTAATTGTAGAGAGAAAAATAGACCAAGAAAAACAACAACGAGAAAGTAGCTTTCTTATCTTGCATCAAAAAAACAAAAACAAAACAAAACAAAAAAAACCCACCCTAAAATGTTCTCCAGGGTGACTACAAAGGGGCTTTTTCCTGGCAGCCCCTGTCAAAACCAAGATGGCTTTACCCAGTGAGAAAGACTGGTTAGTCCAAATTATGCCTATCCTGTCTGCTGCCACCTAGTGGTCTATAAATAAATAAATGTCATTGGTTCAAGCCTTCCCCTCTGCTGAAATACATCATCCCTCATCAAATGCTTACATTTTAAGACACTAGTGGAAATAAAATAAACAGTTTTGATGGGATAAGAATAATTGGAGCAAGAAAAAAGGAGAGATGCTTCCCATGGAAGAAAGGGGCGGGTGTTTGCAAAAAAAAAATAGACTATTGGTTTTAAGTAACAGCCTACCTGTTTTGCATTTCTGAGAGGGTTCTTGCCAGACCATTGTTTTCTTTAGTTAAGTGATTTTAGTGTGCAATGTGCATCTGGATGTGGTCTGCTGAAACAATAAATACCAGCTTTAAGATAAGAATTTAGAAACTTTTTTTTACTTCGTTTTATTTTAATTCCAATTAGTAAATATACAGTGTTATATTAGTTTCAGGTGTACAATAAAGTAATTTAATAGTTCCACCCATCACCTTGTGTTCATCACAACAAGTGCACTCCTTAGTCCCCATCACTTGTTTCAGCCATTCCCCCACCCATCTCCCTTCTGGTGACCATCAGATTCCAACAGCATAGGTGGAGCTAGAGAGTATAATGCTAAGTGAAGTAAGTCAGAGAAAGTCGAATACCATATGATCTCACTCATGTAAAGAACTTAAGAAACAAAACAAACAAGCAAAGGGGAAAAAATGAGAGAGAGGAAGTCAAAGCAAGGAACAGATTCTTAACTATAGAAACTTTTATAGCAATTTGATATTACTAAGACATACAACATGTGATCAGTGGACTTGTTCCTTGAATAAATATAGATGAGTTCAGGTGCTGGAGATCTTTCCCTGTAAGATGCTTGTAGCACAAACTCTGTAGAGGTTACACACAGTTGGAGGTCTTATGTGGTATTTTCAGGTGAGTATATCAACTGTAGCTAACAAGTGTATAAAAACCAGAATCCATTTGTTTTCATCAAAAAATAATTTAAATTTAACCAAAAATTTACAGAATAAATTATTAGAAAAGGCTGCTGATGTAGGAATAAAAATGAAATTTTAAAACACAGAATCACTTGCTTTTTTGTTGTATGAAAGTTAAATATGGGTATCTTGAGCTTACTCGTTACTTTAAAAATCTTTTCTTATCTTCCATCAATATATGTCTGTGAGACTGAATTCTCTAGAATAGATGCTTTTAAAACAAAATAAAAGGGACTTATAAACATTATTACAGAAACATCTTTGTCGTCAATCTAACTTAGAATATTTAGCAAGAAGCAAGTTCATTTGTCACATCAAATATTGATATACATAGTGTTTATTCAGATTATATACATATATATATATAGGTGTTTAATATGAAAGTTAGTACTTCCTTCATAACTTCTGGTTAATTATGATTGTAGGATGACAAAAAGTTTTGTGCAATAGCAATTCTTTCTGTTAATTGCCCAGATGCCTACTTTAAATAACAAGGCTTATGGTATTTAAATTATATTCTTTTTTCCTATGATATGTTTGTTCTACTTTTATTGGAATTTGTCTATTGACACTAATATTAAAAATTAGGGAACTTATTATTTGTATGTTTTTGAATTTTGATCTTCATATTTATTGCATTTTATAAAATTATTGGTTCACAATGAAAATTAGAACAAAACAAAACAAATAAGCATAAAAGGTTCTTATAAAAACACAGTTCTTGGGGCGCCTGGGTGGCTCAGTCAGTTAAGCATCTGGCTCTTGATCTCTGCTCAGGTCTCCATCTCTGGGTTGTGAGTTCAAGCCCCCTACTGGGCTCCACATTGGATGTGAAGCCTACTTTAAAAAAACAAACAAACAAAAAAACAGAAAAAAAAAAAAACTGATAAAACCACCCACATCGTTCTAGTTGAATGCGCCAGATTTAATTGATTCGTGGCAGTTGGCTGGATAACCAAGACAGCCATCAGGTAACATCACTAATATCTAATGCTATTGCTCATTTATGTCACCTCAATCATACATCCCAGCAAACCAGAACATTCCCAGCATTCAACTCATCTTCTGCTATATTGGTTTAACCAATGCATAACTTGAGGGGATTAATTCTCGTTTCACTGACATTTTGTTATGTTGAGAAATATTTGAAATTTATGAGCCATTAGTCTAGTGGGATTTGGAAAGCTTTATATAATATAGAGATTAGGTACTTGTTGTAATAAGATTTTTTTCCTGCAGGAAATCAAATTATTCAGAGACAGTTTAACCCTTATGGTTATTCAATCCTCCTCTCAGTGCATAAGAACCAACAGATTTGTCTACACAAAGTCAAAGAATGGCTGCATGGGTCCGGTGAATTTATTGTCACCTTGAGCATCTATCCACCACCAGTCCAATGTTCCAACCAATGGCACTGCCTCAAGATGACTCTTTTCTGCATATATTACCTGGAGGAGGTAAATAGTCCAAGGCCAGTGCATTGGAGTAATAACTAAAGTACTACTTAGAAGAAAAGAGAGTCTGGAGGCACTACCACAGAGAAGGGTAGTTTTTTTTAAAGATTTTATTTATTTATTTGAGAGAGAGAGAGAAGGGGCAGGGGGGTGGGCACAGGGAGAGGGAGAAGCAGGCTTTCCACTGAGCAGGGAGCCTGATGTGGGGACTCGATCCCAGGACTTTGGGATCATGACCTGAGCCAAAGGCAGATGCTTAACCGACTGAGCCACCCAGGTGCCCTGAGAAGGGTATTTTTTAAGGGGTATGTTACAAGAAAGCTTGGAGCCTGGGTGGCTGTTTGAGGAGGATGAACTCAGTTCTTCTGTAAACTGTCAAGGAAGTGGGAGATTCCTGCCCGTAGTTGAGTGGGTAAAAAGATGGACTTGTCATGTTCGCCTGTTTTCTCTTCCTCCAAGTCCTGTTACCTAATCTTGCTAAGCCTGAGTTGTCTCAACTGGAAAACAGGGAAATTCTATACCTCCAAAGGTTTTGAGGATAAAATGATAGAATTCATATGAATCATGTTCTATGTGTTCCATTAACATACTGTACCCAGGACTACTACACAGTCTAGCACAGGTTTGCTCAGGGTAGATGAGATGCTTGTTCATTCAGGAATCTCCTGCACATGATTGAGGAGTGCTTTTGGTTACAAGTAACAGGAAACTGAAATTAACATGCCTTAAACGAATAGGAGTTTGTTTTCCTCACATAACATTAAATCCAAAGGCAGACAGTTTGTCCATTAATTCAGATGCTTAGCAACACAGTGAGGTTTTCAACCTCTTTTTATTTTTCTTTTCTATTACCTCTAGTGTGTTGATGTTTGCCAACATGCTTTTTGCTAACATGGTCACCAAATGGTGTTTTCATCTCCAGGATTATGTGCAATTGCCAGAAAGAAAAAAAGAGAAAAGGAATAAAAGACCCTTATCCTGGAAGGCTTTGTCTTTTTATGCAAGATTGGAAATGGCTGAGAGACAGTTCTCTATGAAGATTTCAGGTCTGCAATATCCAGACCTTCTGCACAAAAGGCATGTTTGAACAGCAAAGGTTTTGCAAGCTACAGCCTCACAGACACCACCCTCTTGCTCTTATCTGGACACATTTGCTTATATAACAAGGTATTTTTTTTTAAGATTTTATTTATTTATTTGACAGAGACAGAATGAGAGAAGGAACACAAGCAGGGGGAGTGGGAGAGGGAGAAGCAGGCTTCCCACGGAGCATGGAGCCCGATGCGGGGCTCGATCCCAGGACCCTGGGATCATGACCCGAGCTGAAGGCAGATGCTTAATGACTGAGCCACCCAGGTACCCCTATAACAAGGTATTAACCTAGAGTCATTCACCTACCCTTTCCAGACAGGATCTATTCACAGTCCAGACTAAAGATAAGGTCTCTCTTTATCTACTGATGAGCATGGGCAGATTGACTGTCCTACAGAAGCTCCAAGTCTCAAAGTTTTAGACTTCCTCTCTTGTGATGCAACTAACTGCCTATGCATGTAAACCTCTGGTCGCCTTGCCCTGTGGGTGGTGGAATGGGGGAACTGGTGCAAGGTGTGTCTCTGTCTGCTTCATTTGACATGATTACTATGGGACATATTTCTTTGCCCAGAAGTCTTATGCTTTTCTATCAGAAAATGTATACAAAATGTGGCAGAATAACTTGTTAGCTTGGAAGTAGGCAAAAATCTCAAACTCTTCATAGTTTCTGACTTAATAGGAGCAGGTTACCTCAGCAGATTTTTCTCTTATATAGGAACACATACCTAATCTTATACAAATCAATGACAACAGAGATGAGATTATACAAGTTTATCACAATGGTAATTTATCTCTTGGTGTTGGGATAGCACTGTACAACCCACTCTGGAAATATATATTTTTAGGAAGTATTTGTGTGTACGAGTGTGGGTAACCAATGTGTGAGAAGTGGATGGTATATGTACCATCTACTATAAATCTAAAAGTCCATTAATGGTATATGTGTTTGTCAATACTGGACACTAAATTCCTTCAGGTTAAGGAATTATGTCTAATTTATATTAGAATATACTTAAGCACCTAGTATAGATTCTTTTACATATAGATGCTTAATACAGTTTGATTTAATGAATGAATTTATGTTAGCCAATATCATCCTACTTCCAAAAATAGTAAGTTGTGTTCAATTAATTGAAATACCTAAACTAAACCAAAAGGAAGGGGAAATATTTATCTAAGTCACTGAGTGAGAACAAGTTCTGTTTCTTGCCTGATTGATTCTGGATGTTTCCTATATACTGGGAAAAATGTTCCAATAAATTACAATAATGCCATTTCATATAACTATTATCTTTCTTTAGTTTCAAGGTTGGTTTGGATGTTCCATCTCTACAAGCTACACAGGCACTTTAATATTGTAACTGTCAAATTCCCTATATGATTTATAAACTAGTAGCTAAAACGTCAAGGATGTTGTCAAGGAAAATGTTCTGTATTCTTTAAAAATGTATTTAGAGTCAGAACTGAATAAATATGGGGGCATGTATTTATTCTTAGTGACTTTCTTGTCAAAATTTATTGGGCTTACTTGTCAGGTGAGCACTAATCTTATTGTCTGTGCTATAAAATCAACCTGGCATTGGAACACCGAGCTGTGCTCTTCTATTACTATGTCACTATTAATAGTATGCATTTCTGAAACTGAAAATTACTAGGCAATGTTAATAACGAAACAAATGATGCAGCGTGAGACAACTCAACTATAATACCTTTGCATGAATGAATTGCTGTTTAGAATATGATATAAATTAATTCTAAGTGAATCACAACAAAAGAAATACAGTAGAGCAAGTAGCGAAATTATAATTGATTATCTTTCCCATGAATAATAATAAATATTCAGATAGATTTATAGCTAGAAAAGATTTTGAATATTATGTATGTAATCTAACACGTTAGTCACAGAAAAGTTAAATGGCTCATTCAGGCCACGCAACAGGGCACCACTACTGGTGGTACCATGGTACAACTTGGTATCTCCAAGATACCCACTATCCTGGGATGGTTCCTGACGATATGAATTCCTGAGAATTAACCAATCATTATTTGTTGCTTTTATGCACTTGATTATTGATGAAATGATGATGGGTATTAAGGAGGGCACATACTGCATGGAGCACTGGGTGCTATACGCAAACAATGAATCATGGATCACTACATCAAAAACTAATGAGGTACTCTGTGGTGACTAACATAACATAATAAAAAAATTATTAAAAAAAGAAATTTGGCACATGTATGTGAAATATAAAAGCTATTATAATTTTGCCAGTCATTCACAACAAGTCAGTCTTGGCTAACCTAGCAAACTGTTTTCCCTCAGTTTCTAATTGTGCTTCATTTAACCTCTCTATTTTGTGGTTCTCAAATGAGAAGACATTTTCCTCACCTGATAGATTCCACCCATTTTAGTTGGCCTGCCTATCTAAACCTCAAAACCACTGATATAATGCCTTTGGCATTTAAATGGATCCATACACAATAAAGCTGCAAAAATATTTTAGCGATTTCTATATTTACTAATGGAAGAGATTGACATTTATTGGATATCTTTTATGAAATATGCTTTTTAACAAACACTTTATAGATGGTATTTATTAAATTCTTACAATGTCCCTATAGGACTGATTTTACTAATGATCATTTGACAAATGAAGAAAATTGAGGTTTGGAAAACTTAAGTAATTTGCATCAAGTTTCTAAATATATATGATAATGAATATTGAGTAGGGATTCAAGTTCAGGACTGCTGATCTTCAATGTCCTTTTCATGAAAGAATGCCTGCTTCTTAACACTAAAATATTTCCAATTGGAAAAGAGCTCTATTTGTTACATTGTCATCAAGTGTATTGTTATGTAGTGTCAATAATCACTGGAATTCCAAAATTGTACAAAACCTCCAAATCTATGGAGAAAACATGACAAGAGAAACAGTTACCATTTTTCCTTAGAAAATGAGGTGCTGAAGCCTGGAATAGTGCCTAGTCCTGGAAAGCACAGAGGGAAAAAGAAATTTTACCCAAGTGTCTTCAAATTATGGACAATTGTGGAAATAAGGCTGGGCAATTTAACATCGAGTGTTAACTAAAGTGTAAGGTATAATGTACGGACATTTGGTAGCAATGTCTTCATTAAGTAGACAGACTTCACTGCCCACATGTTAGATCAAACACACTTGAGTCCTTTTATCAAGCACCACCCTAGCCATCCTGTGGAATATGTCCCTGGGAAGCCAGAGGGATTCCTGTGGAATTGTCTTCACCCTGATTGTGGCTAGCAAACTATAAGGATAAGATGATGGTTGTTTTTCCATGTCGATTTAGTTGTGGCTTCTGTGCAGAGGATGTAGTTTCAGGAGATGCTTTTTTGACATAAACCTTCCCTCACACCTTCGATCACTGCTGACCTGGTATATATTAGAAGTGGTGACCTGGAGCTGAAAGGCTTGGTTTTCCCTCACCGCTTAACTCTCCTAGAGCCATCCACTATCCTATATACCCATAATTACCGACCTCCTTGACCCTTCAGAGGCCGGACTCCAAAGGAAAGTTAAATAGTTTGTTTTCTAACAACATGCTGGAAGCCGAATATAACTCTGTAAAACATTTCATCCATGAAGGGCAATCACAGTTCCACTCATTGGAAAAAAACTGAGCATTAGTATCTCATCACATAAAGAATGCTTGTTGCATTTTGAAGGAAGAATTATATTCACCCGCTGGGGTTAGAGAACCCAACAGATAACTATGAGCAACATTTATATACGATTGGAACTGGCTGCTAATTGACTGGACAGTCAAAATTGCATGCAGCCAGGAATAGTGTCAACTTTAATCTTTCCAGAACTGCTTCAAAAGAGAATTAAGTGGAGAGCAGTTTTTATCAGAATTAAGCCAATAATGTAGATTTAAAGTGGAAAACCTTAAAGTGACAAGAGAAATGGGCAGGTATTTCAATGAACTTTTAAAATGATTACTTTGCAGTAGGTACTGTTATTGTCCCTATTTTATTTAATTGTTATAACAAATCTGTGAAATAGTGCTGTTTTTTTTTTTTACTTAAAAAAAATATCTTCTAAAGGAAGAAGCTGTCTCAGAAGGTAAAATAACTGGCCTGAGCTCCCCCAATGAGAATGTAGTTGAGCTGGGTTTTACATTCAGATCTCTTTGACACCAAATTCTGCAATTTTTCATTCATCCATTCACTGAGACCACATGTCCTATTTCATGTATGATAGATCCTCCAGGACATCAAGATAATAACAGAGAGAAATAGGACTTCCTAAAACTCTTCACCGAGCTCTATATCATTCTCCAAGAAAGGGGATAACCACCATCACACACTTTGTGTGTGGTCCTAGCATCAGGAGTCACACACCACTGCTATCAGACTTTTCTGGGAATAATCAAAGATGCAAATTCCTCTACACACCAGATCTCTGACCCGGATTCTCTGGAAATTGGGGTGTTGACTCTGCATGCTTAACAAGATTCCTGGGTAATACCTGTGATCACACATTTAAGAACCACCTTTGTGTGGAATGTGAGATTGTGGTTGAGTGGGTGAGGCAGACTCTCCTTGTCTCTAGAATAAATACCACGAACACGAGTACAAATACCAATACTCATGTAACATTTGGGTATGGCTGGCGCCCTCACAGAGAACTAGGTGAGCATCTATTAGGTGTTATTTAAAAGATCTCAAAATATTTTCAGAAGTATTTAAATATATTTTAAAATGTCAAAATATCTTTCTCTCTGCTTAGCAAACTAGTAAAATCTCTACACTAGAGAGTTACCATCATCATCATTGTGACGTCGTCGCCACCATTGGTGTTGTTAGTCTTGAAGGTTTTATTTGAAATTTAGCTGCTCTTACATGAGATTTTGCTTGTGGAGTATTTGAAAGCACAGAGCTCTGTAATTCTGTATTTAAAAAAATATGTCCACTCTTGCAGCCAGTTTGGGAATGATCATCCAATTTGGGAACCCACAGCAAATGTACCACAAGATAAGTGAGCCGCTGACATGGTCAGACAGCACGCTGCCAGAAAGTAAAAGCAGGGAAGGGACAA